ACTACTAAAATACTGAATGTCAACTGTAACTGAAAAATTTTTTTTAATTTTAAAGAGAAGACTGTTTTCTAAAGAGAACAATGAGAACACAAGATCCTGTCTGAAAAACCGCCCTCCAGGGCTTTTAAAAACCACTGACTTCTATAAACGATACTAAATGGCAACAAGGTCTCAGCCGAGCACCTGGAAGCCGCACCTGGAAGCCGCACGCGTCATGCGTGCAGTTTTACTCTCTGTTCCTGGGACAGTCCCTGCCGCGGACTCTCTCCCTGCACCTTGCCTGCCCCGATCTCTTCATCTGGAAGTCGGTCTGCTGATGCCGTGCATGCTGTGCCACGAAAATAAACACCGTGGGGCGTCAGATAAAAATCTTCTTGGTAAACTTGGAATTATTACTTTATCATTTTCTTCTAAGTCAAATGAGCTACGAGGAACGTCTGCAAGCATGATGAAGTGAGCCTTGCCACAGACCCGGAAGCATTTATGGATAAATCTTGTCGGCTCAGCAGGAGGAGCAAATTTCCAGGCCGGAGCTGGGGGCGGAGCTGCTTGGGAAGGAAGGCGTCTTCATCTGCAACCTCTAGACTCCTTCGGACAGTGCTCAGGGAAATGTTAGTACATGTGAAGGAAAAGAGATACTTTGTGCACAAATGCTTCTTTAAAAGAAATAGTCTCACATGGAAAACATCTGAATGTGATTAATAGTCTCTCATTAGGTAAGATTCTTGGAGACCGCGGACGTGGGAATACAATGTATCACTGAGTGAAACGACCCTGGGAGTGAAGCGTATGCGGAAGAGACCAGACACGCAGACGTGGGCAGTGAGCCAAGGAAAGAAGGGGTCGTGACTCAGAAGGATTGTGACTTTTCTGCTACATTTGACTTTTTATTGTGGGTACCTTTCGGTTTGTAGTGAAGTCAGTGATGTTGGCTAAAGAGTTCACATTGTAAGTGCTGCCACCGACACTCACCTTTTCATCATTTCATAAACAGCCAACATGACACCCAACCCGTCAGTGAGCCCCGAGCCTCCTGCTGGCACTTTGCCACGGTGGCCTTGAGGGGGGGTACAGGGGGGAAGGTGAGTGATGTGTGGAGACAAAGCCCTCCGGTTCGTTATTGACAAGCAAACCAGAGCAGCGCACACACCCGAAGGGGTGCTTTTTGGGCTTATTTTATGTCCTGTCCCTGCAAACGTGAGCGGTGACAGTTAGTGTCAGATGGGGACAGACTGGCCCTGCCCTGTCCTGGTCGCCTCGTCCTCAGCCTGGTGGTGGTGGTCACAGTCTGAGCAGGATGCTGCAGGACTTCAGGGCCAGGGGCCTCCAGTCCTGCTCCAGACGGCACCCACCTGAGACTGCCTGCTGCCGTGGCCTTGGCCTTGGCCTCGGCCTCTGCCACAGCTCCCGTTTGACACGTCTGAGAAGTGGGAGCAGTGCTGGGGATTCTTCTTTCTTCAGGGCTCCTCTGAGGGTTAAATGCATGAAAACGTTAAAGAAATGCTTTGAAGGAATAAGAAAATTTAAACCAAAAAAAAAAACACCGGGAGTCTGTCCAGAAGCCAGATTGACAAGTAGCCCTTTCCATTTCCACGGGGAGGGAGGCAACCGGCGTGGCACGGTGGGGAGTGGCCAGGGCCCCGGGAATCCGGGCACTGAATCCAGGCCCCGTCTAACGCACTCAGACCCCATCTGGAATTCATTTCCCGGTCGGGTAAAATACTGCACTTCTGCGCCACGAGAACGGAAAGTATTAGTCCCACGGAGGCCGTTACTACTGTCTCAGCTAAAGACAGGACGGCCGGAACGAAACGATGGGGAATGTCCGTGGTTCTCTCCTCTTTGTGGCCGTGCCTGAGACTGTCAGGGAAAAGGCCAGGAAGCCACAGCATCGCTGGCACACACAGCACTTGCCCGGCTGTGGGGCTGAGCGGAACAGTGCGCTGGTTTCTTGCCGGTCCACACCCTGCCCGCCCCGTGTACCCGTCTCAACCCGTAACGGTGCAGCCCAGCGAGACAGTTTTCAATTTTATCAATCTTTCAAAGAACCAGGTCTTCATTGTTTTTCTCTGTGGTTTTCCTGTTTGTGATGTTACCGACTTCTGCTCCAGTTTTCATTATGTCTTTTCTTCTGCCTGCTTTGGGCTTAAAATGCGCTTTTACTCTCGTTTCCTACAGAGGAGCCCAGAGTACTGACTCTTAGACTCCTTCTCTAATAGATGCAGTGCATTTAATGCTGTAACTTTCCCATGAAGCTCCACTTCTGCTGCCTTCCACTCGTTTGGATGAGTCGTCGTTTTCCATTTTCACTCAGCTCCCAGTGTTTCTTAGGTTCTCCTGAGACTTCCGCTCTGGCCCACGTGCTCAGGAATGTGCTGCTGACTTTCCAGCTCTTCAGGGGGGTTCCAGCTGTCACTGACTTCCAGTTCAGTCCCATTGTGACCTGAAAGTTTGCTTTGTGTGGTTTCTGATGTGTGGACTATGGCCCCACATGTTCCCCGTGAGCTAGAGGAATGTGCCGGCTACGGCAGCTGGGCGGAATGTTCTAGGCGTCCAGGAAACCGAGTTGACTGGCAGTGCTGCTCCGTTCGGGTCTGCTCTGTCCTCCCTGGTTTTCTGCCGGCTGGATCGGCTGCTTACTGAGAGGGTGGTGAAGCCCATGGTTATCACGGTCGATTTGCCTGCTTCCCCTCGCAGGTCTGTCGGTGTTTGCGCTGTGCACGGGAAGCTCTGGGGTGAGGCGCATGCGTGTTTGGTGTCGTTGGGTGTCATCAGGGGAGGAACTGGCTTCTTGGTTGCTTGAAGCAGTCCGTGGCAGCCTCATCCCTGACAAGGCTCCCGGCTCTGCAGTCACTTGGGCCGCAGCGACTCCCGCTTTGGGTTGGCCTTAGCGTGTGCTGTCTGTCTCCCTCCCTCCACTGCTCACCAGATTCTATTTAAAGTGTGTTTCTTCGGACAACATATCCTTGCATCTTGCTTTTCTGTTCACTCTGAAAGTCTTTCTGTTTGCCCTGGAGGATTCGGGCCATGCACATCGGCAGCGATTAGTGCTCCAGCCGGGGGAGTGTCCACCGTGCTCCCTAACTGGCGTCTGTGCCTTCCATCTTTTGTGTTTGTTTGTTTGTTTCTCCCCCCCCCTTTGCCGACTCCGTTGGTTCTGAATGTTTTACATGATTTTGTTTTGTCTTTTTTAGTGGCATTCAGTTATATTTTTTGAAACCATTTTTACGGTTTAGCGGTTGCTCTGGAGTTTGCAATATCTATGTTTTTGAAGTAAAACTAAGTTCAAATACGGCGCCGTGGGATCATGGCAATGGCGTCTTGTAACGGTCGTTCCTGCCCCGCCTCTTCCCGCCCCGATGGCACAGCTGTGCGCATTTCCCTCGTTCACGCGTCCTCACCCTCTGACTCGTTGCTCTTTTTACTGCTTTAAACGATTTTCCTTTAGCTCGATGAAGAATAAGAAAAGTAAGATATTTCATTTTACCTTCATGTTTTTCTTTCTCCTCCTGTGTTGAGGTTGATTGGCGCTTCCGACGTAGAGTTTTCCTTCTTTCTGCAGAACTTTCCACACCAGATTCCCTCCACCCGAGCCCGTCTAGGGACGCGTGTGTTCCTCCTTCGCTTGTGGAGGGTGATTCTCCCGGAAACAGAGTTCCAGGTTGGCGGCATTTCCCCTTCAACACTTTAAACATGGCACTCTGCTCTTTTCTGGCTTGCCTGGTTTCCGAAGGGAACTCAGATCTAATTCTTGTTCTTCTTTCTCTGTAAGCACAGCGCTCACCCCTCACCCTCAGCGCCTGTCCGGATCTCCACTCTGGTTCTGATCTTTGCAGTGGCCTGCGATAGGCCTGGATGGACCTTTCTGGTACGTGTCCTCCCGGGTCCTCGACGGGCTTCCTGGAGCTGTGGTCTGGTGACCTCACTGACTTCGGGAAACTCTTGGCTGTTCTTGCTTCGACTTCTTTTCTGCTCTGTTCTCTCTCCTTCTGGTTTCCAGTCGTGCCTGTGTTGGAATCACCCGACGGTTCTTGGATGTTCCTTTTTTAAATTCTGGGTTTTTTCCCCCGTTTTGTATTTCGTTTGGGAACGTTCTGTCTGTTACCCGTCCTCAGGCCCGCCGTCCGTCTTTTCCCCTGGCCGTGCTCAGCGCGTCGACCAGCCCAGCCCAGGTGCTCCTCCCGATTCACCGCGTTTCTGTCCTCGAGTTTCGTGGGGTTATGTTTCAGGCCCCACTGCTCTGCCCGCAGAACCCACTGGCTGTTGCGCTCTGCCTGCCTTTCCCACGGGGGCCCTTCCTATGTCAGTCATTGCCTGGTCTGGTCACGGGACTACGGTCGGCCTGCTGCATGGGGTCTGTCGTCGCCGCTGAGCCTGATGTGCTTGGTGGCGGGGACTGGGGTCTGGGCGAGTCAGGGCGAGGTGTGAGGCTGACCTGGCTACTGGCCGGGCTGGGCCTAGAGGCCCCACGTTCTCCAGGGCCCGTCCTCCGCCCACCCTGCTGTCTCTGGGCCTCCACAGAGGGTCCTGGGAGAGGCGTGAAGCACGGGCCCTTCTTCTGTGGGCCATTCCGGGCGTATTTCGGTTGGCTGCTCTTCCCTGGTCTGAGCCTGGCTAGGATTTTCTTGGCGTGTCACTGTGAGACCCTGGTGGCATTCCTGGAGGCCGCACCCACCAAAGTGTGGGGCTCTTTCAAGACCGTGGCCCCTAGAAGTCTCTGGCTCACTCAAAACTAGTTCACACCCAGCCTCCAGCCTTCCTGGGAAACCGCCTGGCAGGAGTTCCTATCAGTCAGGGCCCCGGGGCGTCTCCTGCAGGGGAGGGCAGCCAGGGTGGGGCTCTCCACCTCGCCTCTGCAGATCTGCCCCAGGTGGTTTGCCCCGGGGTTTCGGTTCCCAGGTTGTCAGTTCATCAGGCCTTTCTGGTGAGGTGGTGGCTGACCACTTCCTGCCCCTCCCTCCCCGTGGAATCCTCACGTGTGCTGCTGCCTGGCTTCTGGGTGCAGCTGCGAGCCCGTGGAGGCGTCGGCGTGCTCCTGGGCGGGGTGGGACTCGGGCTGTCGGAACGGCTGTGGGGGCCTGGGCCTGGAGCCTCCCCCGCACAAGGGAAAGGCAGCGAACCCTCCGTCCCCTCCAGCTTTGGCTCAAACGTCTGTTTGTTCTGAATCACTCCGCACACTCCGAGTGGTCATGATTTCTGTCGGCGGACCGCTCTGTGCCCTACTGAGCGGAAACACCCGGATGGGCTTGGCTGGCATGGACGGCTCTCATCTTTCCGACGTCTATGGGACATGACATCGATTTACAGACGTCAGGTATTCAAGTGTTTTTTAAGTGTAATGAGTGACTCGGATGGAATCCTTCTAGGAAACATTTTATCTAAATTTTAATTTTGAAGGAGTAAATACAAAAGAAGCTACCACAAAGGGTCACTCATTGTACTATTTATAGGACATAGGACATACCCAGAGTAGGAAAAACCAAGGGACAGAGAGCAGTTTGCAGTGGCCAGGGCCTGGCCGGAGGGGCCTGGACTGTAACTGCCTCGTGGGTCATAACGGGGTGTGTTTGGGGTGACGGGAATGTTTTGGGATTAGATAAGAGGTGCTGATCACACCACATTTGCATGACACTGAATGAACTTTAAAGTGGTTAATGTTATGTGCTGTGACTCTCACCTCAATAAAAAGTAGATATTAAAAAGTAAAAAGTCTCCGTACAAAACCTCCCTGTGCAGGGCCACCTTTTCTCCTGCCCGGGCCTCGGGTCTCCCGCGTGGGAGGCTGGTGTCCGCCTCTGGCTTCTTACTTCCACCTGCAGGCCGTCCCCCACCCTCCCCTTTGGGGGGGGAACCACAGCATCCTGCTTTGTTCCTACTTAATAGAAAGGTTTTTCCTGTCACCACATGGAACCTTATTCTTTTCACAGCTACATCGTTCAAGGAGTTGGTTTCTCAGTTCTTTCAAGTTCGAGGGCGGGGGGTGTGCTTTCTCTCACCATCCTAAATCGGCCCCTTTTTCCTGGGCTGATGCCCCTGCTGGAAGAAGCTTCCCATTTTGTGCCCAGGGGGACAGTCGGGTGAGTCAGTCGGCTCTTTGTGAGCAGGTGGAAGCCCGAGCATCGGAGTCATTGTTAGGAGTCGTTTCTTAAACTCCGGAGTGATGGTGGAACCACTCCTGTTATTGCCTGTTATCACAACGAGAGAATTAAAAAAAAAAAAGACCCCCCCCAATTCATTGAGAGTCAGCGAGCCAGTGCGTTTGTTCCCTAGCTGTAATTTTAGCTCCATTCCTGAAGGACGTATTTTACTTCCTCGAGAGAAGACAAACGTGACCTGACCGACTGCAGGACGGCTGTGGGGGGCAACTGCGGCCCCGGCTCCCAGTGTGCACCCCTCCCCTGTCCGACGTCCGCAGACAGAGCCCCTGTGAGGAGGACAGACAGGGCCCTTAGCTCCTTTCTGCGGAGGGTGGGTCAGGAATGGGAGGTGAGGGGGGCTCTCTCTTCTGGAGCAGGGTTCTGTGCCGGTGACTAGTTGGCCCCAGTCTAAATGTCCGTTTATTACAGAGGAGAGAGGGAGAGAGGAGGAGGAGAAGAGCTTGCAGGACTAGTCGCTGGGCGGACGTCCAGCAGGCCCCGGGCTGAGGGTTTGCTGCAAGGCGCCCGGCGTGCAGGGCAGTGGGGCCTCGCAGTGAGATGTTAATGAGGTTTGCAAAGTGCTGCACTTCGTGGGCTTTCGTGAGGCCAATGGAAACGTAATTGTTTTCCCTCGGTGCGTATCATCTCATGGGTATAGACTACATCAAAGATCTATAGCTCTAAAGATTTAGAGTGATAAGCGCAGCCGGGTAAGAAAGTCAGTTCGGTAAGGGATAAAGTGAAGAGTACCCTTCCCTTTAGTCGCAAGTGATTTTCAACAGGAGTTTTCCTTTTTTTCAGTATTCCTCTAAAAAAAATTAGGTGTGTGCGGGTTCCACTGAAATTTGTTTCGCCAACTGGATTTATAGAAATTGTTTTCTACTGTGTGTTGTTATTATTATTTGCGGTTCCTCTTTTACCACAGTCAACCACACTGAGTTTTCAATCAGCAACATTGGGTTCGTGACCATTGCTGACCCGCTCGGCGAAACATGGCGTCTCCGTGTTTCCCCTCCTTCCTTTTCATTCCGAGTGAGATCCAGCGGCCTCCCGAGCATTTATGTACCTACAACGGGGAACAGCGATGAATGGTCTCTTCCGGGCCAGTTTCGCACCAGGTTGGCTTTGTCGGGTTCGTACCTCACACTTGGAGGAGGCATCCCCGCTCCTATCAAGCGGTGCATTAATTCAATTATATTCACAGGAATTGGAAATTAGGACAAGAGCACACCAAACGCGAAGCCCAACCTTATACTTAGGCTTCAGGTGACAAACCGCGGCGCGTGGTGTTTCTCACCTCTCGGTGGATAAGGGGGGTGTGTGAAGGTTCCCAGGGGGCCTCGGCCCCCAAAGCAGGACCCCGTCTTCCCGTCTCCAAGTGTCCCATCAGCGGTGGGTGGGGTGGGTGAAGATCTGGGCCCGGGCGCGTGTTGAAGCCAGAAGTCAGGAGCACCTTCGCCGTCTCTCTCGGGTCCCCGCAGGTGGTCGGCGGCCAGAGCAGGCTGGTAAGCGGCTGGGTGTCTGTCTACTACAGGTGTTTCCGCTCAGACCCAGTTGGTGCCGGGCAGTAGGAGCAGCAGGGCCAGCAGGGTTGGGGGGGGGAGCGTCTGGGAGGCACCCACGGCAGCTTTGTAAGCAGAGCACTGCCCAGGGCATCGTCTGATTCGTAGACCTGGAGCCAGGGCTAGGGGGCCACAGCTCACGGCCAACACGCGATGGGAAAGCCAGTGGGTGCCGAGTGGCTCTGGAAAGTGGGGGCATGGGGGGCTGCGCACCCCGCCAGCAGCCTGAAAGCCACCCAGTCTCACCGCACCGCCTCTGGGCAGAGAGCTCTGCGTACAGCCTCTCTGTGTAAATCTTTTTATAACGCAGCTAAAAAAGTCTCCCGTGGCCAGTGCGCCAGCCGAACAGGGAGCCGTCTTTCCTGCCGAGGACTGGGATTCTATTTACGGGCCCTTCCCTGGGAAAAAAGGCAGAAACTTGGAGTGAAACACATTGTATCGTATTTTCTTTTGTTTGGAGGGCCTGCCTTTATTGTCCAGTAAAGGCAGAGAGGAGAGTGGCACAAAAAGGGACACATTCTCTCTCTGGAGTCCTCCCTGCAGGAGCCAGGAGATGCTGGGGTAGGTCGGGGCTCTCAGCCTTGACCTTGAAGCCTTCAGAACTCAGCAGCCTGCTGGTGAGCATCGAGAGAGGCTTCACTTTCTCAGGCTGCTGGGGTGGGCGAGCTCCTTGTTTTGGTGAGAGAGCCGTGAGGGAGGGAAGTGCCAGGAGATGCGGATGCACCCCAGGGGGGCTGCTCCCTCCGCTCAGGCCCAAACCCTGGCTGCCAGCTCTCACCCGCCCTGCTGGGAGGCGACGAGAAAGACAGAATCGATTTTGGTCTTTCCTCCCTGGCCGGAGTCCTACAAATAAGCAAAGTGCAGGTGCTGCCAGGGCATTTCTGACGAGCAGAAGCTGTCCTGGAGAAAAGAGAGAGCTGGCAAATTCTGAGCATACCCTGGACTCACTCTCCTTATTTTTGAGAAATAAAACCCAGCAGGGGCGGATTGAGTTCTGGCTGTGGCAGGCGCCCTTCTAACACAGAACACGTGTGAACAGGCAGGCGCAGGCCCCTGCTCCCACGGGGATTCCAGGTTGGTGAGGCATGAGTGGAGGGCGGGGGAGGGGCCGGCACGGGAGACAGACCGTGTTCGGCCGACAACAGGAAGCAGCATGTCATGTGTTTTGCTGTCACAAGGCGTAAATGTCGTGGAGAAAAGAAGGAAGTAGACCAGGTGTGGAGGGCTGGGGCGGTTGCAGTTTTAAATGGAATGGTCGGGGGGCTCATTATAAAAGGTGACATCTGGCTCTGACCAGACAGCTCAGCTGGTTAGAGCCTTGTCCCCTATGCACCAGGGTTGCGGGTTTGACCCCGGGTCAGGGCACATGCAAGAATTAACCAAAAAATGCTCTAGTAAATGGAACACTGCATCCGTGCCTGCCTCTTTCTGCCTCTTCCTCTTTCAAATCAATACATACAATACAATACAATAAAAGGTGGCATTTGAACATGGATTTGAGGAGTTGTGGGAAGTAGCTGTGGCGTGTAAGGAGCAAGAGGACTGCAGTTGGACAGGCAGCGGCCCGTGTCCACACACACACCAGCCCGCTGGCGGGACTGCACAGGGACCGGAGTCGGGGCGCCGTCCCCAGAGGCAGCAGGAGCCTGTCGTTCCCTGGGGTTGGAATTGGGGTTTGTGATGGGAAGTCGGCGCAGGGTCCCACGCGGAGGAGGGACGGGGTTCGCATCCCACATCCATAGGCTCATTCCGGGCTCCGAGGTGGTGACAGAGCCCAGGGTGGTGGAGGAAGGTGGATTGGGAGCCTGCTCGGCCACTAGAGAGCCGTCAGTGAGTCGGACAGCAGGTGCGGCGACAGCTCCCCCGGAGGCGGAGGAGGTGGCGGGCAGGGTCACATTCTGGCTTCGATCTGAAGATGGAGTTTTGGGCGGTTCTGGTGGAACCGGTGGGCGTGGTGTGGAAAGAAACGAAAAGTCTACAGTGATGTCTGAGATTTTAGACCAAGTCGTCACCAGCTGGGGTGGAGAAGCTGCAGGTGGAGGCTTAGGTGCAAAAGGGGACGAGAAGGTCAGGGCTGAACACGCCGAGGGTGAGATTGTGAGACGCGCAGGCGGAGGCGCCCGGTGGGCAGGGATCTCCAGACCTGCACCTGGAAGGCCTCCCCCCAGGCTGGATGTGAGGTGGAGCCATCGGCCTACGGTCGATGGGTGAAGGAGTAAGATTCAGCGGAATCCCAGCGAGAGAGAGTTGTCAGGTTCGGGCCCTGGGGCGTCCCAGCTGCAGGAGGTCAGGAGGAAGGGTCAGCAAAGGACACCAGGAGGCCACGCAGGGGGCGCGCAGTGGGGAGGACCCAGGGCGAGTGAGGGGCGGTGCTCGGCGTCCTGACGGGCCCGGTGAGATGGGGCTCGGGAACTGGCTCTTGGGTCAGGGCCCCGCGGGCCCTGGGCAGCTTGGGCAGACTCGGTAAGATGCCACGTCATGGGTCCAGGGCTGTGGCAACAAGCCCAGGTGGTGTGGGTTTGGGGGGAGGGTAGAAGGGAGGGATCACAGATGCCGGCGGTTGACACGTACTTCCTCCGAGAAGCATCCCTGCAGAGGGTGCAGGGTAAGCTGCG